CTCGGTTCCCGGTTGGGGAGGGCTCGGGAGAGCCCCCGCCGGGCTCCCGGCCCCCGTTTGTGAAAGCGGCTGGCGGGGAAGGAGCTGCCCCTAGCAGTATTTTATTTCTGGGAGGTTCTTTGTTTTGGAGGGGGCTGTTGTTTTTTGGGGTGGGGTTGGGTTTTTTTGTTGGTTTTGCTGTTGTTGTTTCCTTTGAAATGACTCCGTGACAGTGGGTGTAAATATGGGCTTTTCTCCAAACAAGCGTGGCAGGGATTATGTGGGTAACTGCATTTCACGGGTTTGAACCACAGACTCAGCCTAAAGAGCAGGAAAGAATTATCCCCTCTTTCCAAAGAGACCGGAATTGCAGGCAATACATTTTAAAGCCGTGTCTCTTTTCACTTTAGAAAACCTACTTTTGGCTACTTTTTATTTACAATGCCTCCTTTCCTCTCCACCCTTCCCACTCCCCCAGATCCTTACAGAAAGTACCAGGATGCCCTGAAATGCCGGGCATCAGCAGCGCAGAGATACAGATTCCCGTAAGATAGACCTGAAGCTCCAGAACCCGCGTAGCAGCCCAGTGCCATCCCGGTGGGTAACCACACACGCAAGAGCAATGTCAGGACGGTTTGCAAAGGATACAGCTTCTAAGCTCTCACTGAGGGTGAGTGAGTAACTCGCACATGATTCATGCCAATAAAAGTCTCGTAGCATCTCCATCTACTTCACGGGTGTGTGCGTGCGCAACCGGAATATGCATACAGCATGACTGCAGTTTAGGCTGAATAAATAAAGGTTTAAATCTGGTCTCCGTGTATAAGTAAATTTCTAGAAAACTGTCATTTCAAGGCTGCGAGGGATTGAACGTTTATGATACTTGCCTCTAAGGCAAAATCCTAAGGCAGCATCTGAAGAAAAGTAGGTTTTTTCACCGGCAGAATTTCCTTCATCTTTCTCCTACCAGCTTAAATTAGACCTTTTAATTTACCTGACTATGCTATTTTAAATACCAATTTTATTAACTAGAGCATTATAATTCTATAGGTATTTCTAGGGGAGCTTACATCCTCTGAACCTTGTTAAGCGTGGCCGGGACCAACTGCTCTAAAACCTACTGCCATAGCTTTAATTCAAAGGAACACGTACCACGATGGTTATCTTTTCCACTCCCCAGAACCCCCCGTTTTTGCATGTTTATGCATCTTTTATAAAAAATAGCACAAGCAATCCATCAAACCATCAGGAATGATATTGGTCCATAAAGCCAGGTGATACCTCATGCACACTTGTCAGATGCCCAGCCACTATATTCATATTTTCTCAGTATGGCCCATCCTAGCTGCATATTTTAAAAGGAACCTGGAAGATAGATGGACCAGGAATATGCAATTTTATCATGAAAGGGCCCGTGTTTTTCTGCCAATGTAGAAAAGGATGAACTCTTCTTTCTCAAAAGCAAACAATCCCACCAACCCAGCTGTCTCTCTCTCTCTCTCTCACACACACACACACGCTATGGGTTTATAATCTGCCTTGTTATTATCTCTCCCCAGGCCTCCTTTCTTACTGGGGTGGTTTGGGGAACCCACTGCAGACCAGTCAGCTCATGAGTACACATCTGCCTCAGCTTCATGAATGTAACACCAGCCTTCATCTTTTCTTGGCTTTCCAGCCTCCTCCTTCCTGAGAGCTAACTCCTCAGAAGGATGGATTTGTCAGAGGGGGGATTAACTCATCCATGAAGTCACTCAGGTGTGGCTGTGGTCATCTGATACCAGCTTATTAGAGGATCACCTGGCAGAAGAACAGAAGTTATTAAAGCTCAAGCAGGGGAAGCCAGAGCTTGGCGGACATTTCAGCACTTCCAGCTGAGACCTGGCACCCGTGGTGGAAGCGGGAAAGCCCCACTTTCCTCCTTGAGGCCAGGTTGCAACTGACTCATGGAGAGAGAGCACTGAAGCATCTATTTTGCAAAGTTGTTTTTCTTTTATTAAGTTGTCCCCTCTTGTGCTTTCTTCTTTAAGGAAAAGCAGTGGTATGTCTAGGGACACTGCGGAAAGTGTATGCATCTGTGTGTTTCCTCACATCTGTTGCAAACCGCAGAAGCAAAGCTATAATCCAGCCCACGCTCAGGGATTTTCTGGGCAGGAGGTAAAAACTATGGAAAAAATAGAGAGCGACAACCAGGGACAGTAGTGGGACTGCAACTCTCGCGAGACATGAGAGATGCAAGGCTTGGCTGGTGGCCGGAACCCTTGCCGGTCTCTTCGCAGGTGACCACCAAGCATTAGCAAAGTCCTTGCGAGGATCTTCCAGATAATTCCTTGCTGCTTTTTGTCACCTTAATTATATTTCCAAGCAAACAGTTAAAAAACATTCTTAAGTATACACACTCTGAGGAAAAGGGCTGGGATATCGGGGTTTTTTCTTTTCTTTTCTGAAGTGAGGAGGCAGGACAGCCTTTCCCAGGGCAGTTGCCCGGGAGCACCAGGAGTGCAGTTGCTCTGCTCTTGCCCCTGCTTAGAGCTCATGATGAGAGACAAGGCCAGTGGGTTGCCAGTGTCTTGCGGGATTGCCCACACAGAAGCTCAGCATTCGCCCTTGCGTGGTGGGCGTCCTCCTCCCCCTTTTCAGTAAATGAAGCCAGATGACTGTGACAACATAGAGGCAAAGAAGAGTCATTCCCATCCAAACACAAAGGCGAGAAAAGCACTTTCCAGATGAACAAAAGACCAAACTGTGGACTCAGTTCCACAAGGAGGTTCCATCACGCTATGCATGTGACAGGTAATTTCCTTGGATGACCAACAGATACATTTATAATCTCCCATCTTTCACCCAAATAAATGCATACTCTACAAGAGGAGAAAAGAATTTTCCTTGATGCTGACAATGGTTCTTTGATTAATCATTTATCCATGAAAAGTAGAGAACAAAATTTTGGAAGGCAAACAACAATGACAAAACAACAACAACAACAAAATCACCTTTTGAAGACTTAATATTCCAAAGGCCTACTCTACACTAGCTCAGCAACCTACAAAATGCCACTAAAGATCTTGCTAGTCTGTAGGGCAGAGTAAAAGCCTTCAGCACTGGCAGCAGGTCTAGGTCTATTCCCACCCTCATTTCCATTTGGTCCAGTGCTTGGGGGAGGGTAAGTCTTTAAGCAGATTGAAGATACCAAGTTTCACAGAATGCTGCCAAGCTACAGTGATTTATACCAGACAAATAATGGCCACAATATCTTTGTGTTCCAGGTTGTTTTAGATGGAGCTGTAACCCAGTGCGAACGGCAAGTACTGGTTTTGTACCCAAATGTGACAGTTTTGGGTACATCTTTAGAAACAGCGGGACTGCCATGTGCCTGCGTCCAGAAACTCAAATCCATCTGTAGTTCTGAGGTATTGTTAATGGCATAGCTGAAGTTATTCATAGTTTAGATTTACCAGAAATAGTTGGAACAAATTAATAATGAATTAGAACATTTCTTATCGTCGCAGAGGCGAGAGGGAATAAATAGAATCATCCATATTTTCTTATTACAAAACAGTGTGCGGCCTATTACCAAACACTAATTTGGTGTTGCTTGTGCTGGAAAACTGTGGAAGGGTCCCTGGCTCCTGACAGCGTGGCTTAATTCAGTCTGACGGGAGCAAGGCTGTGCAGAAGCAGGCCGGGGTGGGCAGGTGAGGACCATCCCCACAGGGGTGAATCCCAGCCTGCCAGAGCCAGGCGCTGCTCAATAATTCCAATTAACCACGCTAAAGACAACAGAGATGGGTCACGCAGAGCCCAGTAAATATCAATCAGAACTGCATATTGTGATGGGAGAGTAACGAAGACTGTCTCATTAAGGAAAAGAGGAAAGACATTTGGTTGGGCATAGGAGCCTGTCCCTGGCGGCTCATGCATCCCACGCTGCGGTGTCTGCCTCGTGGGCTTCAGTCCATGCCGGCCACAGTCAAAATTGCCCTGAGCATGGGAGTCCTTCACGCCCCGTGGCTTAGCTCCCCGTTTGGCGCGTAGTGAGCAATGGGGAGAGCTCCCGCATCTCTTTGTGGCGCAGAGGCGGGGAGCCTGCTCAGCCAGATGCATAGCTCTAGAAAGATAAGGAGTGCGGGGTGAGCCCAGGGAGCTGGGTGTGCTGGCCTCTGTGCCGGGAGTTGACTGGTCAGCAGACACCAGGGCCATGAGCCAGAGACCAGGGCCAGGAGCCAGCACGTGCTTTTTGGCTGCTGTTGTTAACTGGTCTGGCAGAAAGCACTGGGACATTTGCTGTCTCCAGCGAGGCTGTGGGTTGGATTTCTCCGTCAGCAGCCTGAACCGACAGCCACTTCTCCGGCTGTGTGAGGCCAGGGGCTATTTTAGCACCCAATTGCCTTTAACTGCCCGTTTCTGGGCTTCCCAGGCTCTGAAACGTGTCATAATCAAACAGCATGAAATTAATGTCTAACTGCAGGCATGACCCACTGGGGGATGTTTAAGGGCCAAAGCCTGTAATTATAAGGCAACATCCCTGTTTTTAAACATTTTTTTTATTCATTTAATTTCAATAAAGTGCTTGGGTCTACGTAGCCTAAAGGGAAATGGGTGATTCTTAGTTTTTGTATTTAAAGATAGCACAAAGAATTTCTTGTGTGTGGCCTTATGGCCTGATCCATCTCTATCCTCCAATAAAATGTATTTCTGTAACAGCTGAGGCAATTAATCACTTAAACAGAATTGGATTACAATCTCTGTTACTTGAAAATCTTTCAAGTCAGGCTTGCTGTCTTTCTAAAAAATCCCAGGCTATTGAGCCATTCTTTGCCCTGCTTTATGCAAAGGTCAGACGGGATGTTTGTAATGGCCTCTTGTAATGTCAAAGATCGGTCTCTGACCCTTGCAATGCCACAGGACAGACTCTCACCGATTTCAGACAGAACTGCGCTAGATTTATTGACCTTTCTCATTAGGAACAAAGATTGCAGAAACTCCTATGTGATTTTGTAACTTCAGGTACGTGTCCATTGGGCTTATTATGCAAACACTGCTGCCTTTGGTCCTTTTTGAATTTGATAGGAGTTTACAGAGCTCAACACAACCAGAAGTTGGTAGGACACTGCAAGACTGAACCTTCTCTTTTGACCCCCAAATCTGTGTTGAATCTCCAGAGGTAACCAGATTCATCAACAGTACGAACAATATAACAAACTGTGATACTCTGTAGATAGTTTAAAACCATGAAACTTTAATATGGTATTTTTCACTGTAGTGAAATTCCCTTTCCTGGGGCTTTCTTGCTACTAAGTGCAAGTATATTGCTGACTTTGCATATGGGTTTTCAGAAAAAAGTAGTTAACTGCATAGAATTTGGGGTGATTTTCTGATATACTTTGCTCTACAGCAAAACCAGTTTTCTTCTAAATCTCAGTAACATCTGAGATTGTTCTAAAACTTAGATACTGGTTTTAACCATCCAAAATGAATGTTTTACCATTGGATAAAGAACCTCATTTAGTTTCTCTGATTTAAAATCTGAGGGTGGCAAGAATTTGCTCTGAAACACAATAGACAAGAACTATGAGCAAGAAATTATAGAAAT